AACATCATTGTCATCATCATTTTCATCAACATCTTCATCATCATCGAATCATCATCATCATAAACAAAACAACAACAACAACAACATCATCATCATCATCATCATTGACGAAATGCGAGTTTGCACACTTCTTCATACAGCCCCCATCACCCCGAAACCTTTTACCTCAGTTATTGTGATAGACAGATGAAATGATTTGCTGGCATAATGGTTGAGTGAAAATTGCAGGAATAAATAAATGATTAAATGAATGAATGAATGAATGAATGATCGAATGAATGGATAAATGAATTGATGAATGAATGAATGAATGAATGAATGATTGATTGATTGAATGAAAAATGTTTGAATGAAGAATATTTGAATGAAGCATGTTTGAATGAAAGGATATCCTACTAAATAAACGAACATTTAAATAATTTTTTAAAATTAACCCATGATTGATTGATATACTGATGTATGGATAGATAGATGGATAGATAGGTAGGTAGGTAGGTAGGTAGGTAGGTAGGTAGGTATATAGATAGATAGATAGATAGACAGACAGACAGACAGACGGACAGGCAGACAGACAGACAGACAGATAGATAAATTGATAGATTAATTGATTGGTTGATAGATCACCTCAAAAACAATGTCACCCAGTCTGCGGAGCACGAAGAAGTGAGGGAGTGGGTACTTGCCATATCGATGGATCAGAAGGTGAACATGGACCTACCACGCGACGAGAACGGTGTCTACGTCGGCAGCCTCATCAACCACCCTGACGCCCAGGACACCGCGGGCCGACTGCCTGCCTGCGTGCTCACAGGTTTCAGCATGAACCATCATTCCATAAAAATGATATTTTGACGTTTTGATTGTTCTGCTCGTTATTTTCTTCTTCCATTTCCATTAGCGGTTGTTTTCCATCTGCTGCTCGCTGATGTTACGTCGGTAAACATTGCGACTCTGTCTTATTTGATGATGGTGATGATGAAGATGATGATGATGATGAGGTTGATGATGATGGTGGTGGTGGTGAGGGTGATGACGGTGGGAAGATAGCTATGATGATGAGCTTTGTAGTGATGATGATATTGAGGATGATGTTGATGATGATGACGTTGATGGCGATAATGATGGTGATGATGATGGTGGTGGTGATGAGAAAGAATGTTATTATCATGATTTTTTTTAGTGATGGTGATATGTTTATGAATAAGTTTAAATTAGAGATGACGACGATAATGAGGCTGATAAATAATCATTAGATTAGTAATATTTGTTGTTGAGATGAATATGATGAATCTTTTATTTTTTCATCACTATTGATAAGAGCCTCATCATCGTCGTCGTCATCATCATCATTGTCTTAGTCATCATCATTGTCGTTGTCATCATCACCGTCGTCGTG